CTTCTTTATTAACCATATTCATATTCATAAAACATATTCATAGCATACAAAAGACATCCCACAGCATGGATGAAATAACTTGCATCTACTCCAAAACTCAGATAATAACTTCAATGTATTTTTAAACATTTTACTAAATAAATCACAATTTAATTCTACCTTAGTTGTATATATGTTGTATATATGTGTATATATGTTGTCCATGTGACCATGTGCTGTTTTATCCCTGCATGCAGTGCATCTATCTGCAAGAGTACAATTAACCCAGAAACTGGGATGTGTGGATACCCTCGGATTCCATCTCAGGATCACCGAGGGTGGGTTTTGAGAGTTGGCAGCAATGAGATAAGGTGCTAGGAAAATCCCTGGAAGGGTGAGGTATCTGTTACTTGAGTGGTGTAGTGCCTAAGTGATGCTGAGGTGGTGGGGTGTCAAATCAGTGAAAGCTGGCAGCACTCTCCTCTCTACTTTCATTGGCACCAGAGAGTAGCTGGAGAAGGTTAGAGGATTAGGTTAGATTCCCTTTAACATTCTAGCTAAATCCATGGCGATCATACAGGACCTTTGAAAATATTTTTGAGGGTCTAATTCACTTACAAAGTACAAAATTATACCGAGACTGGGAGTTAGCTCAATGGTAGAGCACAGCATTCATACTCTAAGTCCTGGGTTCAATTCCTAGCTCCTAAAACAAACAAACAAACAAACACATTCTATTGAATATGAAACTTGTGGAACAGCCATTCCACTTACCTTATCCATCCATCCTTCTTCTACTCAATTGTATCAGTGGGTATATGCAAATAAAACTGTGTAGTCTTTTGTCCTCCTCCTTCCTAATCTCTTAATACTGTGTCCCACAGTCTTGCAAGTCACAGAGCACTTTCACGTTCTTTTTAACATCTGCATACATAACATTGTACAGATGTTCCAGTTAGCCTGTCCTCAATCGAGGGATACTGGGATGTCTCCCGCTTTGCTGCCGTGAACAATTGTGCAATGGACACCATCAACACACTTCTGTTTCCTAGCTTGCAGGTCCATTGCATCTGCAGGACAATGAAGTCTTAGCAACAACACAAGTGTTTTCATTTTCACACAGTGTTACCTGCAGACTGTATTGACAATTGCAAAATGTTTTCTCAGCATGGTCATTTGCATTTTCTTATTAGGAGTGAAGTGACATCATGTGTCTGTGGGTCATTTTTTGTTTGTTTGTTTCTGCAAAATGTTTTAGCTGTTGTGTTTAGCTGCCTTCTTTTCTATTACTTTGTTCATCTTTTTCTTCCCAATTTTAAAAGATATTTGCATATGAAAGAGGTTAACCCTTTTTCTATGGTGCAACTGATAAATATCTCCCCCAATATTTCATTCATGTTACAGTTTTGTTTATAGTGTTTGTTTATCAACAGTAAAAATTTGATTATAGCCAAGCAGCGGTGGGGCACTCCTTAAATCCCAGCATTTGGCAGGCAGAGGCAGAGACAGGTGGATCTGTGAGTTTGAGGCCACCTGATTAACAGATCAAGTTCTAGGACTCCAGAGCTACACAGAGTAAACCCTGCCTCAAGAAATTAATAATAATAATAATAATAATAATAATAATAATAATAATATTTTGATTTTAAGGTTAAAAATGGATTTATGGTTCCATATTTTAAGTCATAGAGAGCTCTACTGTGTTCCAAGGCCTTTGTTCTTTTGGATTCATGATAAAATCTTGCAGGGCCCTGTCTCTGAGGTTTTTAATTAAAGAAAAGTTTGAGAGAGGAGGTGTGCTGTGAAGAGTGAGAAGCTCTTAATAAGGAGTTGAAGGTTCAGCCAGGGCTACACAGTGAGGAGTAAGCCAGGTGTGGTGGTTCACATCTTCAATCCCAGCACTCAGGAGGTAGAGACAGGCAGATCTCTTTTGAGTTCGAGGTCAGCCTGGTCTACAGAGCCAGTGCCAGTACAGCCAGGACTGTTACACAAGGAAACCCTGTCTCAGAAACAACAAGAGCAAAGGGAGGGGGAGAAGGAGAGGAAGCCTCCAGGAGACTAAAGGGCTTCCCTCTTGCCTGCCTGCTCCTTACATTTCCTTCTGGGCAGGAGGCCCCAAGAACTCTGCTACTATCAGACTGGGGTTATTTTTTTCCCTGTCTTCCCAAACCGCAGGGATTTTGAAAGCAACTTGCAACATATACTTTGTTTCTCTCTGAGAGGATGTGGGCTCTGACTTCAAGAAGAACACTCACCGTGGAAACTGAGTGGGACACGTGGAGTGGAAAATGACATGGAAGGCAAAATGGAGGGTTGACAGCTGCTGGGACTACACCACTCTGCACTCTGGTGACAGGCATCATAATAGACCTCCTGGACACACGATGTAAATGATTGTGAACGCTCAGGGTTGGATTGAGAATGGACTCAAAGCATAAACACCTGCATTAAACACTAGTAACTCTCATGGCGTATTGACAGGCCAAGGATATTGTAAGTGCTGTTTTTAATCCTTCTAACTGCTATTTAATGATGCTATTTCTCAAACTACGGTTACAGGAAAGTGACTTGGAAGAGTCTAGCAGACAAATGTAAGACCAGGCTGCTAGTGAGCAGGAAGGCCCTGAACCAGGTCAGCTTTCCAGCAAAGGCAGAAGTTCTTTTCTGTTTCCTTCTGCCTTTTAGAATAGAAATTGGAGCACTGAGATTGCTCCGCAGTTTAAGGTGCTTGTCAAGTAAGCCTAGGCACCTGAGTTCAATCCTCAAAACCCACACATGCCACAACATTGTTTTCCAATTCCACACTCAATCCCAGGACGCACCCCCCCACACACACACACTCACTCATGAACCATGTACACACAAAATAAAAATCAAGAGAACCCCCAACCAGGCTGGCCAGTGAACTATAGGGATCTGTTCCCCCTAGCACTAAGATGTGAGCTGCCTCATTTGTTTTTATGTGGATGCTGGAGCCAGTGAGACAAGGTCAGTCAGTAGAATGCCTGCCCCATGAGCGTGAGGCCCTGAGTTTAGATCCCCAGCACCCACAGAGGAACCAGGGGGTGTCAGCATGCATCTGTACTGGTGGAGGAAAGCAGATCCCTGGAGCTTACAGGCTGATGGCCCTAGTACAGCCAATCAGTAAGTGCCGAGTTCAGTAAGAGAAGCTGTTTCTAAATACCGAACAAATTGACAAATAAGGTGGCTGCTAGCTGAAGACACTCAGCATTGACATCTGGTCCCAACAGTCACACATGGGTACAGGCTCACACACACACACACACACAGATCATTTGATTCCTTGATTGAGAGTCCCTTTTTATATTTCAAAAGAAAAAAAATGAAAAACTTGATCACATGCCTTAACTGTAGAGAAACAAAGTATCAGTCAGTTTCCCTGACTTGCCTGTTCTCAAACATTGGCTAGTTCAGTTTGTCTATTGTGGTTTTAGATGCAAGTTACCCAACAGTGGAAAGGTGACTGTCACCATCTGCACCACCAGGCAGCTTATTTTCTTCTTTCCCTGTTTTTGTCTTTTCCTTAAGCAAAGGGAGGATGCAGACATCCAAATTCAGAAATGACTAAAATCAAACACCCACTGAACTTTATTCCCTTATCCAATAGAGTCAAGCCCTTATCAGTCTCTGGCAGAGATTCTCAGATGTTATCTCCATAGGCCAGATTAGGAGGCTCTCACTCTCAGTGCTGAGTAGGAGTGAGCCAGTCATTCTCCTCTGTCAGCAGCCCTTGCTCTAGCAATCCAGATAAATCAATTAATAGGATGCAGAGCTGCAGGCTTGCCTTTCTCCTCCCTATGCTCCCCCCCACCCCGCCCAGGCCCCTCTGTCCCCTGCTTCCCTGTCTAATACCATCTGAGAGTCCTTATTTATAAGAGGGCTTGTGCAGGTGCAAGCATTCAGGCTGCCAGCAGCACAGAGGGCAGTGGCCACCTCTCCCTTCCTATCCTCCAGGCTCCCCTCTTTGTGAGGCACTTTTTTTTTCTCTCTGCTTTTCAAACCAAAGACCCCCCCTCACTGGCTAATCTAATCGGATTATGCTAATTTGTACTTCATGAACCTAAACAGCATAACCAGACTCTGCAGAGGGTTAAGGCTAAGAAGAGTGCAGGAAGAATGTAGATTCTGTGTTCAGTCTCACAAAGCTGCTCCGCTGGGAAGCCCATAGAGCTCTCCACAGTTTAGTGTCCAGGATCCACAGTGCTAGGGTCAGAGCACAGCACACAACAGGCACAAACAGGACCAGAGTGAAGGTGTCCTTTCTCCTGGTGTACAGAAGGCCTCCTCTTCCATTTGCTCCTGATGGGTTAATTGATACTGCAACTGATAGATGAGCTGAAGCTAAGATGCAATCATCCTGAAAGCTGCCTGTGATCGATGCTGGGTGCTCTGGGGTATACGAAGTTGTTTGTTTGAGACTTAGTGCACATCAGAATTCCAACTCTGGTTGGCAAGGCTATAGAAACAAGGAAACACCTCCATGGGCTGATACACTTCCTCTTTTGTTTCCGCCCTTGTGGAGCCAATTCTGCTACTCACCTTCCACAACCTTCTAGGAGTGATTTTTATTTTATTTTAAACATTTTGGAAGGGGGGGGGTAAGAGGGATTGAGACAGGTTTCTCTGTGTAGCTCTGGTTGTCCTGGAACTCTGTAGACCTGGCTGGTTTAGAACTTAGACATCCCCCTAGTCCCTGCTTCTGAGTGGTAGTATTAAAGGCATGCACCACCACCGCCCTGCCTAGGAGTGATCTTTAAAGACAATTTATTTTCTTATTAAATTTTATGCCTTGCCAAAATATACAAAATTGGCATAGTACTTAATTTTCATAATGGACTGAGATAAGATTCGTAGGGCAGGGAGTGATTCAGTGGGAGAGTGTATATATTTTGGTTTGAATCTGTAGTATCCTTAGAGGCTCATGTTTGAATGTCTGGTCCACAGCTGGTGATGCTGTTTTTGGAGGTTTGGAAAACTTCAGCAGGTAGGGCCTAGTCAGAATGACTGGGGTACAGGGGGCGGAGCTTTGGAGGTAAGTTATCCCCAGTTAGTCTCTGCTTCTGCTGCTGCTTCTTCTTCTCCTTCTTCTTCTTCCCCACCCTCCCCCACCCCCGAGACAGGGTTTCTGTGTAGCTTTGGAAGCAGTGCTGGAACTTGCTCTGTAAACCAGGCTGGCCTGGAACTCAGAGATCTGCCTCCCTCTGCCTCCTGAGTGCTGGGATTAAAGGCGGGTGCCACCAATGCCCAGTGCTCACTTCTGTTTCTAGTCTACCAAGAAACCAATGGTCTCTGCTCCATTCTACTGTAGCTAAGACATCCTGCCCAAGCACATGGGGCCGAGCAAGCATGGACTGAGAAACCATCAGACAAAAATAAAATCACTCTTCCTTTAGATGTTTTTCTTTTGTGTTATTTTGTCATGTATTTGTGTCCCTAAGATAAAAACTGAACTTGGTTAGCATGTGTGAGGACCTGGGGTTAGTCTCTAGCACCAAAAACAAGATTGGTATTTTTAAGCTCTATTTTCAAACACTAAAAGTGAGACAGATGTTAAACCGTTCGTCCAAGAGGGCTCATCTAAATCTACTGTTCCCACTCCATTCCCAGCATCTTGTCCCACAGAAGGCTGACCTCAGGAGGTCAAGAGTACCATTCTCTTGCATGTACACAAAATGGATTTTTGAGACAAACTGGTTTCAAACTCAAAACCCTCCTGTCTCAGCTCTCAAGTACCAATTGGTATTACTGGTGTTGTGTGGTGATACTTTGTTTATGATCTATCAAATAAAGCTTGGCTGAAGATCAGAGTGCAACTTCTTGGTGTTCTCAAATGAGAAGGTAAAATCTGCAGTGATGGAGGTGTTTAGATACATTGCTGAGAACAAGACAATAAATCCAAGAGGCCAGTGAAAACGAAGCCTTTTTTGTTTGTTTTTTTTGAGACAGGGTTTCTCTTTTGCTTTGGAGCCTGTTCTGGAACTTGCTCTGCAGACCTGGCTGACCTTGAACTCTGTAGATCTACCTGCTTCTGCCTTCCTGTCAGCCAGGAAGGGAGGGCCTGCTATTTCCGCTTATCTGCCACTCTGACATACTGTGAGCACATCTCCTGCTGAAAAATGACCATAAGAACCCACCCCTTAAAACATCTCAGCTCACTCTTAGCCCTGACGACTCCTGTCTATTCAGAGCCTTTCTTGGTCAAGACATGAATACACACATTCTGAAGGGTGTTTCCTGCTCATCCAGAGCCTTGCCTCTTCTCCTCTGGGCTTCTTGCTGTGTAGGTTGACTGACACTCAGCACTTTGGCTAATTGGTTTCTAAGTTGGCTGTCCCCTGGGGTGCTAAAGCTTCAGCAGGTCCCCGGAGACTGCTACATACCTGCCCCTGTCACAGCTTGCAGAGCAATGTGTCTTTTTCCTTTTCCCGAGTCCTTGTTCCCTCTGGGATCCTTCACTGAGTTCTGTTTCTGATCTGAGAGATGCTTGTAATTCACAGTTCATTTACTGAGTGGAAGAGATTAACTATCCTCAAGTGAATGAATGATGGGGGCCTTATCAGTCATTTACTCACTCACTTCCCCACAGCTCCCTCCCCACAACCCCAAAGTAGGTTATAGTGACATACACGCAGCAGCAATAATCAGTTCCCATGCAGAGAAGTAAAGGAAGGCAGATCTTATTTCTATTCTCTTTCCTCCCCTTGTTACCAGATTGTTGGGTTGGAGAGTGGGCCCTGGCAGCCCTGCCATTTGCAATAAACCAATTAAAAAGACAAGTAAAAGCAAAGGACAGAGGAAGATGTATCCAGTATGGCCACAGAAAAGAGGCCCTTGGTGTCTCCTACCTCCATCTTTCAGGTTCTATTGTGAGGATTAGCCAGAGGGCAAGAGGTATGAATAGGTAAATGGTCCCAGACACTATGTGGGTTGTTAACTCATTATTTTCTGGGTTCCAGTGTCTCCTACAAGGTGGTCTGACAAGTTGTTGGAACTGTGTGAAATCTTTCTGGAGGGCAGACTCCTTTGTGGGAACATTGGAGCTCTGTCCTTTTCCTTTTCCCAGCATAAGGCATGGTGGTGGGGATTCCAATTTATAACCATCCATCCTTTTAATAACCTGGTAGACAAAGGGAGAGACACAAGTGTCTGTTTGCACAACATTTCACTCTTGCCAGGATGATTGTGCTCTCATTCCTCTTTTTAAGGTTAAAAATATTCTTCTTCCTCCCCCCCTCCCCATCCACAGGGTTTCTCTGTGTAACAGCTCTGGTTGTCCTGAAACTTACTCTGTAGACCAGGCTGGTCTCAAACTCAGAGACCCTCCTGCCTCTGCCTCCTGAGTGCTAGGATTAAGGCATGCGCCGCCATGCTCTGCTTTTTAAAACAACATCCTTGTAGTGGCATAACCCCAGATTCTGCTTATATGAGGACTGCAAATGCAAAAGGTTGAAATCGAGATTTTAGATGAGTATAAATAACAACAATTAAGTACCTTTATTCAACTTAGAATTTTAAAATGTATTTGTGTATTTTGTTTGTTTTCTTGTTTTTTGTTGTTTTGGGGGCAGGGTTTCTCTGTGTAGCTTTGGAGCCTGTCCTGGCACTCACTCTGTAGACCAGGCTGGCCTCAAACTCACAGAGATCCACCTGCCTCTGCCTCCCGAGTGCTGGGATGAAAGGTGTGTGCCACCAACGCTTGACTAGTATTTTTGTTTGTTAGTTTGGTTGGTTTTGTATGTGGTGTGTGTACATGTGTGTGTTCATGTGCATTTGTATGTATGTGCATACATGTATAAGGAAAAAGTAACTTTGAATGTCATTCCTCAGGAGCCATCTACCTTATTTTAATTTATTTATTTGCAGAATCGATTCATAGAACCTGGAGTATACCATTTCAGTTAGACTGTATGATCAGCAAGCTTTAAATATCTTCCTGTCTCCACCTCCCCAACACTTATGACCATACTTAGATTTTTACAGGAAGGTTGGGAATTGAACTACAGCTTCCACAGTGAGCCCTTTATGACTAATCTGTCTTCCTGGGTCCTGAAAAGTAGTAATTGTTGTTTGTTTATTGACTGATTGGGAGGGAGTCTCACAATGTAAGCTTGGCTAGAATTTGCTATGTAGCCCAGGCTAGCCTTGAACTCTCAGAGATCTGTCTGTCTCTGCCTCCTGAGTACTGTATAAAGGTGTGCACCACCACACCCAGCTTCTTGTAGTAGGTTTAATTTCCTTAGATGGTTGACTATTCTAAGATAAATCTATACTTTCTTATGTTACTAGTTTGAATATATGCACTCTAAATATGAATGAGATTTGGAACACAACCTTGGTGTGGATTTTGCTATGGGTGGTTTCCTTTTCCTGATAGAATGCAGTTGTATCAGGCTTCAGTGTCCCATCCACATCTGTTTGTCTAGTTGTTACCATAAACCAAGGGCTAAGGGCCACTGAACATGAGTCTTGGGAGCTGGACAACCACCTTGACCAAATTCAAACCAGTTATCAGACACAGCTCTGTGAAATAGATGGCTTCTTCATGAGAACAGGGAACGCCTAGATTTAAAAACCTAATACTTTAAATAAACTTGAATAAAAATACTTAGATCTTTTATAAGACTTACCAGTAGACATTACTATTAAATCAGAAAAGGTTTCCTGAATTTATTCAGGCTGTTTATTTTGAATTGTATACACCCCAATGCTCCTCAAAGCCAGGACTTAGTGAATCTGAATAGAACATGATATGACCATTCCTCCCCACCCTGCTTACACAGCACAGTGTGTCCTAAGAGCTGTTATGTACATACTGGGAGAAAAAAAGAACCAGGAAGGAGAAAGGGGTTATGAGTCAGCTTGGAATGGGCAGGATGCCGAAGCTAAGACCAAACAGCTGTGGGTGTTTTGCTCAGGATCAGCCTCTAGGGTAAATCCCTGTTCCAGAGAGACAGAATAGCTCTGTCAAGAGGACAGAGGGGTCAAGAAGAATCCAGGTAGATTGACTTTGCTAGAGTGTCCTTGCGCCCTAAACCTGTTATTATTAGATAATGCCTTTTTGTAAAATTATATTTTACAAATTCATTAAGCAAGAATATGAAAATGGGCCGGGTCCTTTGGGCCTTTGGGTCTTCATTTTTAAAGGCTCTTGTCCCATTGAAATGTTTGATTACTTTTGTTAAGCTTTTCTCCTGTTGACCTGCCTTTAGTCGTAAGCATATCCACCATGACCCGTAACAATAGGTGAGGAAAGATACCACACCTATCTTCCCCCCACAGTGTACTTGCTGGCTTTTATGGAGACACAGGGGGCTCATTTCTGTGACCACCCCTCGCTTTTCACAAAGACCCAGTTCTGAACTGGTGTGCACCACTAACTTGCATTGTGGCTAGCTTTCTGCCAATTTCATGCCAATTCTTCTGAGTAGGCTTGCCACTGACCTTCATGTGAAAATGTTTGCGGAAGGATGCATGTGTCTGAGGTGCTGCAGAAGTTAGCTGCAAGGTTTCAATTTTCCTTTTTGGTCATCACCCTAAGCCATAGCTCTTATGTTCTACACATTTGTAGCTGGAGTCCTTGAGCATTTTACCTTCTCAATAATCCGAGATGCCTTGCTGCATTAGTGACCTTCCTCGTTGCTGCAAAAAAAAAAAAAAAAAAAAAAAAAAAAGCATAGTGAAAGCGCTGTTCTGACTCATGGTTTGAAGGAAGAAGGCATGATGGCTGGAGCATGAGCTGGCTGGTCACACTAGGGCCACAGTTATGAAACAGAGAGAGGTGAGTCTAGTGCTCTGTCAATTTCTTTTATTCATTCTGAGGTTCTAGTCCATGGAAGTAGTGCCCACATCCAGAATGGGTCTTCCCTCTTCTGTTGAACCTCTCATAGACACATTTATAGGTGAGGTTCCATGGTGATTCAGAATCTAGTCAAGTAGACAACTAAGATTAAACAAAACTCCTGCTTTCTGAGCCTAGTCCTCAGAAGGCGCAGGTGTCATGGACCAGCAGCCCTATGACGTACCCAATAGGCA